AAGATTAATCCCGAGTAATTTTTAGTGAAGAATCAAAATTCGACGTATGGCTTGATGATGAGCGTAAACGAGTTATTCGCACTAAGCATGAGACTTTTCACAAAGACTGATTGAACTAGTGTGATGTCAATCGTTCATTTTACAAGGACCGAATCAATCAGTGACCGACTCTGAAAACGATCGAATTATTTCAATCGTTCGTTCGTTTCAATACTTTTCATTGACGTTTAAAACAAATAACAAGTAACCGATTGATTGAGCTGAATCGACTGAAAACCAGTAGTATTGCTTAACGTATTTCTTATACAGGGTGTTTCAAAAAGGTATGTCATAAATTAAATCACGCATTCCAATGACAAAAATAAATTGATTGAATCCAATATACCTTAGTAAAAAAGTGTACACAAAAAAAGTTACAGCCCTTTGAAGTTATAAAATAAAAATTGTTTTGACACGTTACTTTCTTATTTTGAATGCATTTTTCATACAAAAGAAACAACAAAATCTAAGGGCACAGAAAAATTTTAAGGGGAGTGTGCAGCCCTAAATTCCTCCAAACTTTTAAGTACGTTCAAATCAAATGAATTTTGTGGCATCATTAGTTTAACACATTATTTTTAAAACTTTGTTGCCTCATCACTTTTTTGAAAAACTAGTTTTTTCCTAGTTGGCCATAAAATTAAAATTAGTTTCTACTGATACAATACTTACAAACAGTTCCATCAATAATAGTCAATAATTTGAAGTTATCATTCATTTATTGTGTGAATAAGATTAATATTAAAAATTTTGATATTACAATGGCATACACATCTCAGGAAATGGCAGATATGCATTTAACTTTGGGTAAGTTGAATCAGATTAAATTATAATTTCAATAAACTATCGGGAATATTGTAGGTAAATGTCAAGGAAATAGTGCAGCAGCCGCAAGGTGTTATGCAGTAAAATACTCCAATCGAAATACACCCGATAGACGATTATTTCTGACCATTGATCGTCGTTTATGGGAACATTCTAACCGCAAGTTGCTGGCAATAGTGGTCGTCCAATAATGGATGCAACTGATGAAGACATTTTAGAAATCATTGAAGAAGTCCCTGGAACAAGTACAAGGGTAATAGCTGCTCAACTAAATGTTCCTCACGTAAGGTTTTGGAATCCTCACGCCAAAAAAACGACTCATCACCAAAGGACTTTCAAAATTAATTTTTGGGCAGGAATTGTGGATAACAATCTAATAGGCGCAGTATTTCTTCCCAACAATTTAAATGGTGATAATTATTTGCAGTTCTTGGCAAACGATTTACAAGAGTATTTTTAAGAAGTTAATATTGCAATAAGGCAAAATATGTGGTTTCTACAAGATGGCGCTCCACAGCATTACAGTAATGAAGTCCGGGAATATCTTTGCACGCAGTACCCTGGTCAGTTGATTGGAAGGGGTCGTGACGCACCTATTTCTTGGCTACCCAGAAGTCCAGGTCTTAACCCCATAGACTTTTGCTTTTGGGGGTTTATGAAAGAGAAAGTGTATTCTGTAACAATAGAGGACTAACAACAATTAAGGGTTAGAATAATTGAAGCTGCAAATCAATTTCGCCAGAAAAAATAATTTTTCAGTAGGTACATTCGGTTTTTCTGATTAAAACGATACCGAATGTGTATGGAAGAAAATGGGGGTCATTTTGAACATTTATTGTAATATCATCAAGGTTATAGACATTTTTTGTACTTGTTAATTCATGTAAACCATTTATTTAGTTGCACGTAATTTTTTAAAAGTTAATGAAAAGGGCCGTAACTTAATAAAAACTGTTTTTTGAAAAAAGTATAAGATGCAAAAAAATTTTAAAAATACTGTGTTAAACTAATGATGCCACCAAATTCATTTGATTTAAACGTACTCATAAGTTTTGGGGGAATTTAGGGCACTGCACACCCCCCTTAAAATTTGTCTGTGCGCTTAGATTTTGTCGTTTCTTTTTTATGAAAAATGCTTTCAGAACAAGAAAGTAACTGTCCATTTTTATTACAAAATGTCAAGTAGTTTAGGAGATAATGCAAAAAACAATTTTTATTTTGTAACTTCAAACGGCTGTAACTTTTTTTGTGTATACTTTTGTACTAAGGTAAGTTGGATTCAATCAATTTATTTTTGTCCCCGGAATGCGTGATTTCATTTATTACATACCTTTTTGAAACACCCTGTATGTGTATATCCCTTCATTGTCCTTTATACGTTTATGTTAGTGCGAGTAAGGCTTAGCTTAGATTCTAGAAGAAATATTCGAGAAGCTAGAATTTATTATGTTTTTGTTTTTAGGTTCTTGGCGTAACTCCGAAACAATTATAAATGTATATGGAAATATGTGCTGCATCCAACTATAAATATTTATTGTCATTGCGCAAATTTTAATTTTGCGATATTTTATGATTTTAACTACCTAATAACTATTAACAACACAAGCGAAAGCAACCGCTTGGGCCTGATACAATATTTTCCAACTCCAATACACCCGGTCTGTAACTAAGTCGATGCCTTGCACGCAATTGCTAATTTAATATGTAGTATTTTAAGCTTTCAATCATTCAAACGAACGCAATCATTCAGCCGCATGGCATGTATCGGTCTTCGTCGCAAGTGAGGAACGACAGATGATCGAGGACCGAAAGTAATGAGAGTATTGGCTGTGCGATTTTGTTTTGGTTCAATCTCCGCCGCTCAACCGCCGATCCATTTTTGCCATCGATTGATTCGATCGTTATGAACTAGCGGGATTCGGTCGTTCAATACTTTAAAGTGATTGAATCAAAACGAACGAATCAATCGCGATTGATACAACACTATTTGAATCGGACCGTAAGGTTTCCTAAATGGGTGATTATTTGGGGTTATACGGCCGTTTCAGGGTTGTGATATTTTTAATTTATTCAGGGTATCGTAAATGCTGCGAAATACCTCAAAATTTACTATAAGTACCTATTTATACCTATTTCTAAGTATTGTGAAATTAAATGCTGGCAGGAGGTATATTTTTAGCACACGAAGAGGCCTCCCATACGTTCAGAATCACATACAACTGGTTTGGAAACCACAATATAAATGACCTTTCCAATCTACAATCCTGACCCAAAAGTCATTTTTTATCACACGAAGAGGCCTCCCATACGGTCAGAATCACATACAACTGGTTTGGAAACCACAATATAAATGCCCTTTCCAATCTACAATTCTGACCCAAAAGTCATTGAAAAAGTATAGCACAAAATGAAACAGATCTAACGAATAACGGAAAACGGACATTACACGAGCTTAACGCAAAAATACAGCAGTTTTGCAATTAATTTGCCTCTGAACAGTGCAGATCCTTAGTCGAGTAAATGCCTAAACGAATTCGAGCGGCAATAAAGTCTAAGGGTAATGCTACTCCGTTTTAAAAATAAATATTCGATATTTTTTTAAGAGTCGGATTGCCGAATATAGGATTCTCCTATTCTCGCCATTCATCCCTGCTGTTTGTAAGACGTTTTCACATTGGTCCTGCAATACTTTTAATATAGTCGCTCCAGCGCATTTGCGGTCTTCCTCGTGGTCTTTTGGCTTCATATGGCCGTCAATTCCCGATTTCTTTATTCCATCGGTCATCCTTAAGACGTTCGTTATGTCCAGCCCATTTTCATTTCAGTTTAGCTGCCTGTTAGACAGCATCTTTTACTTTTGTTCTATGTCTTCATTGGTATTATAGTCCTTGAGTGAATACCCAGCATCTGTCGTTCCATAGCTCTCTGGAGTTTTTATGATCTTCTCCATGGTCTCCATTTAAACACTTTGGTTCGCAGTCTTTGAGGTATGTTTTTATTGTTAAGTACGTATGAAAGCTTTCCGAATGCTGCCCATCCCATTTTTACACGTTTGATTATTTCGGTAGTATGATTTTCTTTGATTACATTGACATTTTGACCCATATATGTATATTCATCTACGTTATCTCTGCCCCTTAAATGTTTATAATAGGTTTATCACCTTTGTTTGACATTAGTTTACTTTTGCTAAAATTCATTTTCAGTCCTTTTTTAGGGATTCTGTGTGTAGCTCCTCAATAATCTTATTCAGTGCATTCCACATGTCGGCTGTTAGTACTACATCATCTGCGTATCTAAGATGGTTCAAGTATCTTCCGTTAATAGGGATTCCCTTATTTTCCCAGTCTATTGACTTAAAGATATCTTCTAGGGCAGCTGTAAATAATTTTGGAGATGTTGTGTCTCCTTGTCTTAGGCCTCGTTTGATTGATTTAAGACCCCACAGACCTGAAAAATTATCGACCAATTTTATTTCTTTCACAACTTTACAAAATCTTTACAAAGATTATTACAAACAGGTTAAAAATTAAATTTGAATGATATCAACCAGTAGAACAAGCCGGATTTAGAAAAGAGTACACCACCTGTGACCATCTATATACTTTGAAAATTCTAATAGAAAAGACTAACGAATACAATCATACTGAATACAGGTAGAGAATATTAATACATAATATATACGAACAAGCTGAAATGATAGTGACGTTGGGTAATGGAATCGAAACAAGACTACTAAAAATCAATCGAGGCATAATATTCGTTATATTATTTAGTTGCCAACAAAATAAACATTGTGTATTATTAAGTAGTTCTGTTGGAGTAAGTATATTTTATTTTGCGTTGCTGATTGGACCTATATTATTAGTAATTAACTACAGATATTGCAATACATCAAAAAATATGATTAAGAAAAAATAAACTCTCAACTATCTAAATTTTGCGTGTAATTTAGTTTTTCCCATCATATAGTTGTCAGGGCTCGTACAGAGTCTTTACTACACCCAGACCAAAAACATATCCGAGCAATGCAATAAACCGACTATCATAAAAATTACAGACTTATTGTCATCATATTGGTCTTACGTGGCATTCAACATGTTACAAATAAAATCGGCCCATATTTAATAACTTACCTCGTTATTATCCGTAGTTGGTAAGAAATATAATAAGTCGTGAACGTTAACCCAAATAACGGATTCTTCAGAATAAATTACTTGCACTACAGGATTGCTATCGTGATCAATACTAATAGGAACCACTTCAATAAAATTTTGAAGAGACAGTAATACTAATTGTAACCTTTCTTGTCGTCTATCTAGTAGTTGAACCCAAATGCTAAAACATTAAATTTATTATTTTTTTCTATTAAAGATTAGAGAAAATTTAGGCAGAAGGCTTCGCCATTATCTGTCCAAAAATTATCAAACAGTGTAACTCATTTAGATTGGAAACACCTCTATAAAAATGTTTAAAAGTTTTTAACCAATTTTAATATCATGTATTAAAAGGTCTACTTCGGGATATAATTCAAAATGTTTATTCAAATTTCCAGGGTATACGACGCTATAACGTCCTTTGTCAAAAATTAAAAATTTATATTAACAATTTTTATTAAAAATATTCCTACATCACAGGATATAGACTGGTCTCAAAAAGCTTTGATATAAATTTCATTAAAATGACGAATTATGACAACTTAAACTTTGAAAAGCTACGAGTCACCTGTAGAACAGATAAAAGAACACCCTGTATCAACAGATAACCATAAAAATTAATATTTTTTAAATAACTCTAATAATAATCCACCATCACGTGAAAAAAAATGTTTAAAATAACTTAAAAATTTAATGAAAATAACGGACTTACATTATTAACTATAAATGCTATAAAACTTGATATTTCAACTTTCAACTTAAATCTTAGTTACCATAAAAATGATATTTCTGTTTGACATTTTTGGCGCAAATTTCAGTGGCGCTGTTTTATGATAATATCTGCCACAATATTAACTTTCAACTCTTTTAATATTTTGTGTCACGGCTGCAAGAGATTAGGTTTGCGAAAAAAATTTAAATTATATTCTTTTGAAGATAACCACAGAAGTACCAGATAATTTTGTAGTATATTTAATGACATGAGGATCATCCGAATATTAGCTGCATTAGGTAACAGTAAACAAAATAAATTGGCCTCTTAGAAAGAAGAACAGTCTAGTTTTATCTGGGACCACAGCGAAGTGTCGTGTTCCTAAGGATGTGGCTCGTCGAGGATCACATTTGCCATACTTTCTTATATATAAATTTGTGTAAACGGTCTGAGGTAAACAAAATCAGAGGTTGGTCCGTTAAACCACGTGTTCACAAACAGATTAGGTTATAATTTCTATCATACTTCAGTTAGTATCAGTTCGAACGTCTAACGAGGCTAAGACATGTTTCTCTTCAGTTTTTTGTTAAAAAATGGAACTAAAAAAGAAGATAATGTTCCGTAAAGGACTATCGGAATGCGAACTTCGCAGAATTGCTGAGGAGAGTGACTTTAGTGATATCAGTATGTCTGAAACTACGTTTTATGATTCCGATGCCGATGCAGTGTACAATGAAAATGTTACTAATGGTTCTTCAGACTCATGCAGTGGTGAATATGAGTCTCGTAGAAAAAAAGCTAAAATTTGCAGGTTCTAGTTTTTAGTCCTAGTATTTTTTCTATTTCCCTCTATTGTTGTCCTTCTTGTCTTTTACTGCAATTGTGCTGATACTAAACCTAGTTTTATGAACAGTTAGAGAATAAAGTTGACCATTTCCAAAAGTTAAACTTACGATTCGGCATTAGGTGTCCATCCTGCTCTTACGACATACTCCATCCAAGGAAACAGGCCGGACAATGAAAAACGCATTTCTAACATACACACGTCCACAATTTGAAGATGTTCATTAACTTTGAACTTGATCATCTTCAGGTATGACTTAGAATTGGCACAACCAGCTCGTGGAAACCTGAATTCTTCCACATCGCCAGAATCGGATTGAGAAGAAGGAAAACAAAATACTTTTACATCGCCCTCGTCTACTTCTTCGTACAGAATTCTATATACACCATCTAAAAAATAATTTGCAAATTGTTATAAATATATCACTGTAATTTCAATACAATGCAGACACTTGAAACAGAATAAATTTGTTTTGTCGATTGTTTAATATGACCAATCTGCTTATAGAATTACTGCTATTCTTTTTTTTTTAGATAATATAGGGAGCTTCGTTTTTCAAAAGAAGTTACTTTCTATATTTTACGATTTGGGGGATTATTTAAATAATTCTGGTTATTAAGATTAGTATAAAATTGTTAAGAATATACGATATCAGAGGGAGCTACTGTGGTAGAAAAGTTCTACTCAAATGTCAGATTCACCTTCATTTAGATGTCAACTTTCTAGACAGGCAACAAAATGAGTTGGCATTGTACAGTTGATAAAACTAGCTCTATGTTCCTTTATCAGTTTTTGAAAACTTATTCCTGTATGACCTAGGTATACTTTTGGGCATGTACTACAACTGAACTATACTTCTATAAAGAAATTATATTAAATTGACTTTATTAATTTTTGTAACTTTAAGACCTGTGTTAAATATGTTGGAAATCTCTTATGATGGCTTTCTCTGTGCCTTATTCTGACGGTCAGATGGCGTCAGGCATTTTCATAAAATATTGAAAAATTTCACGTAAAAATAATGATAACTAATTGCTAACTATATATAACTATAAAAATATAATATGAATATACGAAAAACATACAAACAGAAACCGTCATATCGTCAAGACGTTATGAGAAATACCCCCGTTTGTATATCGATATGTTCAGCTTGTATGCTAGTTGGCAGTAAATTAATCAAATATAAACAAATACTTTCTCTTTATCGATGCTTAACTTAAAGGTATCTAGATGGTGACACGTATGTGGTTGTATATACAGGGTGGTGAATCGTCAAAAGGACCATAGGAAACTCAATGGGAAATTTTTAATTGTTGAATTCCTACTTCCCTAATTATTTTACACCAAAAGTCATGGGAGACTATTAGAAGATGACTGAAATCCTTATCGACAAATGTTAAAATGGTTCTACGAATTAAACATATTCCCAAATTTTCTAAAAATATAATACATTTTTCAGTCCACCCCTAAAAGTCAGGCCAGACGCATTGCAAGATTGTGTATGTCGTTTTGCTTTTGGTCATATTAATGTTTCTGATATTTGACAATATTTTAATTGCTAAAATGTTTATTTTGTGATTTATTGTTAAAAAAAAAACAATAAAGTTGATTAAACATATACTCAGGCGAGCAGAAAGTAGCAATAATAAAATGTTTTATTCAGGCAATAAGCATCGATATCCCAATCGACCAATTCCAAGTCATTCAACAGTTCAGATTTTAAAACATTTTGAAAATACTGGGACCGTGATTTTTGTATTTGTTCAAAGAATATTGTTGAAGTGTCAAGAAATTTCGAAAATTGAAATGAAATAAATGTATTAACAGCAGTAGTAGAAAATCCTAGAATAAATTCTCGGGCCATTGCAGACCAGTTTAATATTCGTAATTCCACGGCCTTAAAAATTTTGAAAAGGAATAAATTCCGTTTATATAAATTGTATTGTCATTAAGAACCAGAAAAGGAGATGCCAAGAAACGAGTGGAATTTTGTTATGAAATTTTTGGGAGACAGACAATTTTTAAAAAACATTTAGTTTAGTGGTGAATGTACATTTACATTAAATAATAAACCAAATGTTCAAAATTATAGGATTTGGTCGACAAGAAAGCCTGAGGATATTATTGAAAGCCATACCCAATGTGGTCGAAAAATAAATGTGTGGTTAGGAATATTTAGACACAATATTATAGGACCATTTTTCTATGGGGCAAATTGAAATTCAAAAAAGTTTTTAGACTTGCTACAAGAAGAAATTTTATCGAGACTTGTTGAAATAGCTCCAGATGAAAAAGAAATTTGGTTTCAAATGGAAGGGTGAAAGTGGCCTCTGAGATCGGCAGATCTAGCTCCAAACGATTATTTTGTCTGGGGGCATCTAAAATCAAAAATCTATTCTGACCAAGAATTTATACATATTTACCCTATTATGTAACTACAAATCGAATAGAAATAGGTTAACTCGAATAGAGATCAGCAAGTCGGATGGAAATTTGTAGGAATTGGTATTTTCATAACTCATCATGACCTCTACTATCGGAACATTGGGTAGAAATTGATTTCGATTAGACAAGTTGTGTCGAGATCAAATTTCGACATCGAAGTTGGTCGTGACGCTTGCGCCTTGGTATCATTACTGTTTTGAGGTTCATTTGTTAAATAAATTAGCGGTTGATCCATTTTTGTAGCTGCTGATTTTTAAGTCTGTGATGTTATCTATTTACATAATTGTGTATTTAATTTTTGTCATTTACAATGGATTTCCAAATAGACATAGGTATACTCCATTCGCTTAGCTCGGGCATATTTTGACAGATTCATTGTCGGAAACCTTCTTGTTCTTCTTCTTCTACTTTTTGTAGATCTTTCGATCTGTTTAATTCTGAATCTGCCTCTGGTTGTCCGCCTAACTCCGCCTGGGTTGTCAGATGGGTGGATTGAGTAGCTCATCGGATGACACTGCCGGTCCCAAGCCCGGATAAAGGAGGAGGGTCCCCATGGCAAGGGTAGCCACCTACCTGGGGTAAAGAAATCCATATTGGCTCACAGAATTGAAGATTCAGCCTCGGATACCGGACGGAAATATCAGATTGTCGGAAACCTACACCACAACAATTCCTACTTCCTAGTATTAATAGCTCAAGTATACTACAATTGCAGACTTCTTTCTTTGAAAAAAAGAATTATTCTGGAATGTGCAAAAATAACGCCACGCGTTCTGTCTAATGTTAGACGAGAATTTTACAATCGATTGGGATATTGCCTGGTGCAAAACTAGCGGACCAACTCGACGTCGAGTTTTGATGTAAGTTTTGCTGATGTTTAAGAGGGGCGGAGTCTAACGATCCATCGTTTCCGTCGCCTGGTGTAAATGTTCCAAAAATCCTAAAAATACACTGTATCGACGCCAATTTTTTTAAATTGAAAATCTATACAGTAGTTTTTTAGGATTTTCAGGAAGATTTACATTAGGAAATGGAAACAATATAATTGTTAGACTCCGGCTCTCTTAAATAAAAAACGGAAGTAAAAACGGAAGTAAAACCGGAAGTAACTTTTTTTTGCATATTTTAGATTGTAAAATGCCACGTTTAAGAAAAAGAAGTTTACATCACCCCGAATTCCAAGCAAAAATTCGACGAAGATTGATCCATCTGGACTACAAACGTCGTATTTGACGAAATATTCCATGATATTTAGTGATTTTCTTATTCTTATGTGATTGATTGTGATTGTATTGAACTAACTTTGATTGACTTTAATTTTTGAGCTTAAATGAATTAATAAATATTTTGTACTTGAAATTCGAAGTTGGTTTTTTTTGTTTGCAATTTGGTTAGTTTAGTTTAGGTTAGGTTAGGCTGGGATATCTTACCGGAAGTAAATACTTCCGGTTTCATAATTCTGAATTCAATCAGTAAGTATAAGAAAAAAGTAGACGCGGGTATATTTTAAAAATACGTTGAAAATTAGGACTGTAAATTTTGAAGAATGAAACCTGTAAAATTCCTATACTTTACTATAGGAAAAATTCATTTTATGGCCGTCATTTTTAAACCGGTTCGAATTTTTTAAATTTGAAACCTTAGGGGGAATCTACTCAACAATCTGTTTAACTATTCGAAAAAATTATTCTCCTATCTATCACCGTTTAGGAGGAGTATTTGGTACAAGAAAAGGGCTTAGCCTTTTAGTATATAAGATGGCGGATTGTTTGAATATTTGTTATAGTTTGATGTTTAGAAATGGTCATAAATTATTTCTAGGAAAAAGAATCACAGCAAACTATATTGAAATTCTTTGAATTGTTTTATAACTTGGAATTGAATAGGAGTATATTAGAATGTCTTACGTTAAATAAAGATCTGGCAGTGCTCACACTATTACCTAATACAACATTATTGTGATTTTTCGTCAACTGAGTACATTTCATTAACTCTATTGCTTTGTAAATAATATAATTTATTGTTTACAAAGTAATATTTATTGTTCTGTAGTAGTAGTAGTATTTACTAACAATTTAAATATTGTCAAACATCTTAAATTAATATATTCAAACGCAACACGTCATACACATTCTTGAACTACGTGTGGCCTGACTTTAAGGAGTGTCCAGAAAAATCTATTATATTTTTGAAAAATTTTGAAGTACGTTTAATTCTTCTTGTTCTTCTTCTTACTTTATAAATAGGCTTAATGCCTGTTTTACTTCGGTTTTTAGCCTCAATTGACGTTGTCTGACCATCTTTTCCTCGGTCGTCCCAATGTTCTTCCATTTGGCGATTTATCACTTGCTATTCGTACTATACTATTTTCTGTCATTCTTTCGATGTATTGATTCCATTCCACTTTTCTTCTTTTGGTCCACGCGTTTATTTCCTCTTCACCACATCTAGCTCGTATTTTCTCACTTCTTACTCTGTCTCTTACAGTTTGGTTTGTTATTTTTCGTAAGACTTTCATTTCTGTTGTTTCCAGCAGTCTTTGTGTTTTGGCCGTATCTGCTCTTGTTTCCGCTGTGTACGTCATTATCGGTCTTATTGTTGATTTATATATCCTGCTTTTCGTTTCCGTTGTGAGGTATTTGTTTCTCCAGATTGTGTTGTTGAGACATTCCGCTGATCTGTTTGCCATGTTCACTTGTTTTTGTACTTCTTCTTCCACTACGTTTAATTCGTAGAACAATTTTAATATTTGTTTTTAATACATATTTCAGTTCTCTACAAATCCTTTCTTATGATTTTGTTGTAAAATAATTAGGGAAGCAGGAATTCAACAATTTAAAATTTTCCATTGAGTTCCCTATGGCTTGTTTGACGATTCACCACCTGGTAGATGTCCCAGTCATCGATTTACTTATAACCGGAGGTATTGCTCATTTCGACTCCTTTGAAACTACTGTGTGATAAAGATAAAAGCCCAAAATACGTATACAAATAATAGAATGAGATATTATGTCTCCGTTTATATAATCTTTGTATACGTTTTTCGTAGTTTTCAATCATCGCCATTCCGTTGATTTCATTATGAATTAAATATCGTAACATATCAATAAAACTTGTTCTCTAATGACCATGGACTCAGCAATCAATTTTAATTAATTAATATATCAACATGATAATTAATTTGTTACTCGTTATCTTTAATTGACAAATTAATATATCTACAGCTAGTATAAATCAATTATTTTACTCACCGTTAGATTTGGGTTGCCACCAATAGCCTTGATATCTAGAAAACTCCTCTTGCATAACATAGGAAGGCACTCCAGCACACAACGGATCTTCTGCTAGATATCTTCCGCCTACATGGGCATAAGTTAATCTTTCATTTGAACCGGATACGGTGTGCGTTACCCATATGTCATGATTACAAATGTAAGCTACTAAATCGGGGTTTGAAGGGCATATTTGGGAATTGATCTTCGCTCCAGACGCTGTCATACGAAGTTTTGTGGGAAACAGTTGACCATTCTAAAAGACCAAAAGAGATTACTACAATATTATATATCATAAGTTCAGGTTTCAGGTTTCACATCTTAGACCTGCAAGTTCTATTCTGGTCGAAATTTCCTCGTCACTTTCAACCCTCAAGTCAATCCAGCTACCCAGTTATCTAAAGTGTTCCATCCTTTCCAGGATTTTGTTCTCATTTTTATAATTTTGAGCGTGTGACTCATTAAACCGATACGTCGATAGTCGGTACACTGTCTGGCATTCATTTTCTTGGGAATAGTTATAAATATTGATTCTAAACAAATGTCTGATAATTTGAAGCTGATGTATATCTTGTTTTTGAGTCTGAACCACACTAGTTTTGAGTCTGAACCTGACATACTTTTTTCCGAGGTGGAATTCGCTTTAAAAAGACTTAAGTTAAACAAAGCAGCAGGATATGATCTCATTACTGCAGAAGTCTTGAAGCATCTTCCGGAATGTGGAGTGAAAATAGTACATCGATTGTGCAATGAAATATGGCACACAGGCGTCTGGCCTGAGGATTGGAGAAAGACCATAATCATACCTCTTCATAAGAAAGGTTCAACAAATAATTGCAACAACTACAGGCTATTAGCTCTAATATCACACGCCAGTAAGGTGATCCTCTACATATTGCAACGGCGTCTAGAAAACTTCATAAGTTGGCAAATAGCACCTGAGCAGGCTGGATTTGTAAAGGGAAGAGGTACTAGAGAACAAATCCTTAATGTACGAAACATCATAGAAAAAGCCAGAGAATACCAGATCCCGATATTTATAAGTTTCGTCGATTATACAAAGGCCTTTGATAATGTTAGATGGAACAAACTATGGAACATATTGACGACAATGGGTGTACCTAAACATTTGACTCACCTTATTAGCAAACTGTATCAAGATAACCTGGCATATATTCGAATGGACGGATATCTGTCTGACAAATGCACTTTGGAGAAGGGAGTACGCCAAGGATGCGTTTTATCTCCCTTATTATTTAACATCTATTCGGAGTTCATAATGCGCAGAGTTTTGGATAGTTGGGAGGGAGGAGTAAACCTAGGTGGAGTTAAGATATCTAACTTGCGTTTCGCAGACGACACTACACTTCTAGCCTCTACTCCAGAAGAAATTATTAAATTATTAAAAAAACTCGAGGTAGAAAGTGCTAAATTTGGACTCATGGTTAACTACAACAAAACCAAAATCATGGTTATTGATCGCCAACAACAGTTTCCTGAAACCCAAACTATTGCGGGATGCGAGGTAGTCTCATCTATGATATATCTTGGAGCTCTAGTTAACAACACAGGCAGTTGTGAATCCGAAATTAGAAGACGCATTCAACTAGCAAGAGCAGCAATGAGTGAACTAAACGGGGTCTGGCGTCATCGTCATATTACTATGACAAACAAAAAGAGACTCGTTTCAACTCTGGTCTTTTCCATATTTTACTATGCATGCGAGACATGGACAGTCAAAGAATCAGATCGACGACGTATAGACGCCTTTGAAATGTGGACATGGAGACGCCTGCTTCGAATTCCATGGACGGCTCGCCGTACAAATATCTCGGTTCTGGATGAAATTAAACCGGATCAGCGTCTCTACAGTACCGTTTACTCTAGAATTTTAAAGTTCTTTGGCCATATCCATCGAAGTGATCACAAAATGGAGCGGTTGGTGGTCCAAGGAAGGCCTCAGACTCAACGCCAACGCGGAAGATCTCCACAGCGATGGGCGGACATTACTAAAAAGCTTCTCAATAAACAGTATACTGAGGCAATACATATAATTGATGACCGCGACCAGTGGAGAAATATTATCAATCAAACTGTCCGAGCTGCTGAAGCCCAATTATGAACCACAACACATCTACTAAGATGTTAATGACTGTGATGATGATGATGTATATCTTGTTAACCGCAACACTCTCGGTTCTTCGGCACAGCGCTCTTTAATATCACTTAAAATTCTACCACCAGTCTTTTAATATATTTTGCCTGCAAGTTCTGCATTTGCCTGTAAATTCTTTTAGATTTTTTTATACAAATGGAAGCTTGTTTATCGTTGCCCCAATTGCTCAATTTGTACTGGCAATGGCGAAGATTTTACAGGTATGCAAATTAATCGTTTGGGATAAATGTACATTGGCTCATAAGAGATTGTAACATTTGTTTTATTATTAATATATTAAATTATTTTTAATTCCTTTTACCCCCGTGTGATACGCCGATGATTAGGAATCCCCGTGTTTACGATAGGAAGATAATATTGTAGATACTAAGCTAAAATGGAATTCCCTAATTAAGAAAGGTTTTTAATCCTTCCGTCTTAATACTCTGTATGAAAAGAACAAATGCTTTCCGGTATGCAGTTTCCTTTTCATAAATTGGTAATTTTCGTCGAAGGCCCATATCTTTTGACACTAACTTAATCCCAAGTATTGTCTGTTTCTTATGTCCAATTGTTAATACCGATTATTTTACCTCAAACTTTCCAATAGTCGTTAAGGCCTTACCTTCTGAGAAATACATACGACTGTCCGATGATTTTAAGTGGGGTATATAGCTTCTTCTTCTTTTTGCTTGGATAGTTGGTGAAATTTTTAGGGAACCAATTTACTTTTTGGTGGGCCGTTGTTGAGTTAAGGCCAATATCTCGTGTTACGCTTTGCTCACTTTATTTCTTATCGTTTCGTCTTTGTGAATTATTTTCTAAGTGTGTGTGTATACACTTTATATTTGAGTTTTCTTTCCTTAGACTATATTAAATTATATATAGTTCTACACTACCTTTAATGGTTCCTAATTAAATTCAGTGTTGAATACCAGTACAGTATCTTAAATTCAGTGAATTAAGCTGCCTTCGTCAAGATCTATTGTAAGTAATCTTTATCTACAATTATCTGGGCGAGTAATATGGTATGGTATCATATCACCTGCCATTATCTGGACGTATCATCCATATCTTCACCTGTAGATTGCCGATTTTTGAATGTAATTTAAAGAACCATTCAATAAATTTCTATAAATAATACCTATGAACATACAAGTCTCAATTTTTTATTAAATAATAGTGCGAGATAGTTAATTGACTTAACCAAGTGCGGTTTGGTTTATGTTTTTATTTCTGTAACCTTTTTGTATTTTTGTACATTTAGAGTTAAGTAATTTTTGCTATCTTTTGTATTTCCTATAATTTTTGTTCATTATCTTTCCTATGATATCTCGAGATACGCCAAACTATATTTGTATATGATTGCCTTATATATCTTGGTAATTAGGTATTTTCTTATTACATTATTGCTTAATTTTATACATATATAACACCATTTCATAGTTGTGTATTTTTATTACTTGTGTTGCATTTAGCAGAATCATAATTTTGTGTTTAATATATTGTTATTGTTTTATGCATGTATTTTATTTGTCGGCTCCTAACAAGTTCCCTGATAAAATAATAGCTCTGAACAATTACTATCTTTAAATATTACTATGCTTTTGAACTGTAGAAAGATCAGGCTGATTAAGTTTCGTAGGTAAGTAAGTGTAATACTTAATATATTTATTATTTGTTTATATATTGCGTTGACCAGATTTATTTGATAATTTACTGTTGGTATCTTTCCTTGGGTTTGATCTCTGAACCTAAATATCTTTTCTTATCTCTTTTCTTTTCTAAGGTTTTCTTAATTTTCTCCTTAACCCAAAAAAAATGAGTGGCGCTCTGTTTCTATCTTCTCTTATCTTTGGTAATTTTACCCATCTATCTTTTTGTTTATTTCTGTATCTTTTCTAATATCTCTCATCCTATCTTTACCTATTTCTTCCGTTGGATCCATTCCCGGTTCCAAAAGCTAGTTTCGAACCCACGACACGCTCTCCACTAACCATCTGGCTGCCGCCCGCAGTGTCTCCATTGGTTATCTTTCTAGCACCACCCAAAAAAGATTTCCGAGGTTACAAGATCATTACAGGGACTGGACGGAACTTTAAAAGATATTAGTGACAATGAAATACATCTTTGGTGGAGCCATGATTATATTGTCAGACTGTTTCTTATTTAATAATTATTACCCAATTAAGGGCTGCGGACGAACTAAACGCATGTTTAACATCATCCAGTTTGTGGTAGCATGTAAAGACGCTCCGATTGACAAATAACATCGAGTGTAACAAGATCAAAGTGCAGTGTTTTCGTATCAGTTTACATACAAAAAAGACAGGATAGCAGAAGAACTAAAAAATGGATACAACAAAAGGTTTAAAAACATACAAATTTGTGACACCAATCAGGATATAGAAATTATCTGATCGGATATAAAAAACGATTGTTAAAAGCCCACACGAAATCTGAAAGGAAGATTACAGATTAAAATAGAAATTTTGGGTGATTTTGGGGTATCCACGGTGGAGGATAGATATCACAAGAATGTCTAAAGCTTGAATATCTAGAATCTAGACTCTTAAATGACACTTTCGAATCATTAAAGCTCAACAGGGTTTCTGTTAGAAAACAAGGATGAAAATATACGAGTTATCATGTAAAAACTAAAGGAATATGCAACTAAACTGAAAATTTAATTGAGAGTAATCGGTCCAGATATTTAGAAGAATTCGAAGGTAATGTTCTAGAAATAAAATCAGAAGAGGTTCAAAACGCAAATCTTTACCTAAAATTATCAAAGCAGTCGGACAAGACGAAATTAACACATAAATTGTAATGCTCAAAAAATAAATACTTATCACACTTATTACAATGAACACCTTAATCAAAGTCTTAAATATCATTTATCGCGACGGAAATATTTCAACTGATTGGCTGAAATCTGCTTTATCTACTTTACATTACCTAAAAATCATTCAACAAAGGAGTGTTCTGATTATCTCTTAATTACTAAAATTAATTTACGGAAAAATTGATTAAAAACATGAATCTTTTATGCAGACACGCATTTGGATTTTTACAGTTGCGCTCGTTGTCCGGAGTGAGCAAACGCGACAATCATCCCGCCGACAACTTTCACATTCCCTAAAATGTCACGCAGGATATGGCATACGCGGATCCAAAAACGCGGTTCTGAATGCAGAGAATATCATACTACGGGTCCTAACAACTAAAATTGGAACAAACTAAATAAGTGCATAATCCAAGAGTTAATATTTACTTTTTGCTAATAAGGGTTTCTCAATGATGCTTAATTATATTCCACATTGTAACTTGAGAAATATTAAGTTATAATATGAAGAAGCTTGCGTTTCGATTTAATTTGAGTCTTTTACTACTCCCTGACACATGTTTCTGGATCTACCCGTCATCAGAAGGAGTTTGTAAGAAGACTCAAACCAAATCAAAACGCACCGACTACTCTGGCAATTACAGGAAAATAACTACTAGAGTATGCTACTAGAGACCTCTAGTGAGGAAAGATGAAGTTAAATCTAATTTAAAAATTTAACTTCAAATATTAAGTTCATATGCCACGGATTGTTTTATTACCGCAAAAACTTTTACTTGCAACTCAGGAGCTTTTTTAATTTTAAGAGATACCACGCACCATTTAATTGAGATAATACAGTGATTCACTCAATTTGACAAGAACCTCACTGTAGAATATAGTGAAGTATAATGGATGATACAAAGAAAGATAAACCAGGGCAGATGTAGAACCTGACTGAAAAATCTAAAAGGTTGGTGTGTTTGCAGCTCATTATAGATATTATTTATAACATTAAAAAAACCTTGTAAACCAATTGTTGTAGATATAAAAATATGATAAAAAACTATATAAAACGTGAGTATATGAGAACTGTGACCTCGTCTGTATGTGCTTCATCTAATTTTTTATTTTAATTAGTACATTAATAGGTTTTTAATTAGTTTATACTAATAAGCATTAACATAAACTGTGCCATAAATAGCCAATTACTCACAGACAGTGAAAATCAAGATAATTTGATCATATTACCAAAATTTCCTTATTTAGAATATATTTCTTGTTAAGAAATTTAAATGTGATTGAACATAGTCATATTAGACCATTTAAAACTCAAGAACCGCAGTACCGATTTTAATATTCAGTTTTTTGCATTTCATGGTAGCTCCGAATAACAGAATAATCATTAAAATATGTAACTTTACGAAAAAAATTAATCTTGATCTTAAAGATATTTTTCAATTTGTCATAATATTTTACATCAAATTTGTGTTAGTTCAAGAAATCCCAATCTGGAGGTGAATGAGGAGATACATAACCAGGTTTTGTTTTGATCAAATACATTTATTACGTTATAGTACCAAAAGATACTTAGCAACTAGACCCTGCCAATTCATCAAGATATAGATTCTGCCAATGGTAACCGTTTATGCTCCAGACGACCACCAATAAAAACAGCACAGATTGCACTGGAAAATGAGTTCAACTTAACAACCACTTAGGCTCGAGAATTGATGGAACAACAAAATAGAAGCTTACCCTGCATCACACAACAACCACCAGGTTTTGACTTACCACGCAACACATGGACTATGTTGAACCGAATCAGAACCAAACATGGCAGATGCGGTTATATGATGCACAAATGGGGAAATCAAACCTTGTAAATTTCGCTGCAAACAGGCAGAGTGCTAATGCAAATACAACAGGAGAGCAAACTCTAAGCAAGGCTGAACAGTGATTTAGTAGTGGAAATAGGCTGTTGCTTAATACTGATACAAACGTTTTTTGTTTACTTTAGACCTAGACAGTCATGAGAACAGTTCCCTGATACAGTTATATTTTCTGTCACAAAACACAGAATCTGATAGATCAGTTAAATTTCTTTTTCTTCATCTTCATATTGATCAGAAACTAAATTGGGGGAAACAAAATAATATGAAGTGTGACAAAAAAAACTGAATAGAGCCTGCTACTCACTGAGAGTATTGAAGAGCTATCTAGACAGTCTTACAATGAGTTTAGTCTATAGGTTTTTGCAAACTTTTATTCTATTATGTTATATGGATATTTTAGGGTGTTGTAGTGGATAGCTCATCTCTCTTTATAGTAACAAAAAGGCAATCAGGTGATCTTAGGATTAAAGATGGGGGAATCCTGTAGAGGCCAATTCAAATTATTCAATTTATTCACTTTCTCAGCCCTCTATATATTTGAATGTAACATTCATCTTTCAAAATTTTACTTTATTTTATTAAGTACCTGCTTCCAATTCATGAACATTACAAGAAGACTTAATTTGAATTTCCCACTTCACAGATTGTCTCTAATAGAGGGAAGTCCTTTCTATGAGTGTGTTAAATTTTACAATAGTTTACCATCTGAAATTTAACAGAAAACAAACTATAAAGCTTTTAAAAGAAAAGTTTTTAACACCTGGTTAACATTGAACCCTATATTGTGGCGGAGTGTCTGGCCTATTTTTCTCCTTGATCAGCATATTGCGGTTACCTTGTCCTCTTGTAACTTGTAACTTTGTTTACTGTATGTGTGTAAAGTTGTACTCTGTATATTTTAGTATTTTTTTCATTTGTAATGTTAATATTTTTTTAATATATACTAATAATAATAACGTGACATGCCGTTATTTGTTCAATTTTATGTACAAAACTTTATCCAAATAAAAATTTACTCTTCTACTTTAACCGAGGATTTCAATCAAGAAGTCAAACATAAAAGTGAATATGAATGAGATGCATTAAACCATTTAGTTCAAACAAGACTACAAATGTTGAGCCAACAATAGAAGAAGATTCGTAATAACCTAATGAAACTAGCTGATATCAAAAACAAAGTTTTATTGATGAAAGATCTTTCTGCTTGTTGACAAATAGAATGGAGTGTATGATTTTGGACTTCTGGGGACTTATTTAAGTCCATTCTGCAACTACAGTCAGAGCCTGTTGCATTGTATCTCTGACTGTGCCATTAAATTTATTATGGGCTAAGATGACCAGGTCATCCACATAGCCCTACCTTTGAGTACTTTTTTCAAATTGGATATTGAATTGATTCTTATTCTTTTCAGTAAGATTTACAAAAATGCAGTAAAAGCACTGGTACTTAAACTCATTAAAATATACTTTCACTTAACAATTTCACTGTCACAATGGTAACATATGCTTTCAAGTCTAGCAGGTCTAAGGCTATTTTAATATTCAAATACCTTCTACATTTAAATCATATTTGGTTTATACACACATATAAGCAACAAATATAGACACTTATATGTATCCATATTCATTGTTATTAGGGACATTCTTTAAATTATATGTGATTTATAGGACAGTAAAGTTTTTAAGATTTTACTTAAAAATACTGATAACTTTCAGTTAAGGAGAGAACTAAAATTGTTCACAGCTGGTAACTGTGCAAGAACACTAAAAATAATATTAATATCACCAAATACCTACATTGATAGTAAAAGAAGTATAAGTATAATAAAATGACTAGAATCACTTACTGATAATCCATTATCAACACATTGGAACAAACTACTGGCAGCTGGAAAAACAATTTTACCACTCTCACTATGAATTTCATAAGAATTTATGCCCCAGGTCGTCATTCGTTTTCTTTCCCATAATAATTGTTCTTCCCTAGAAAACTTGTTGGTAGATGAAATACTTGGAAAATTTGATTCTATCACACATTGCCACTGGAGTCTTAAACTAGTTGGTTGAATCGTATTAGGTACATCCGCAAACAACAGAGTTGTCTCCCAACCATTCTGAGGAGTACTAAGAAAGTATATCCTAGATCTACCATCTTGTAAAGTCCTAAATGTTATAGATGATGGTACCATTGTAGACAAACTAGAGAGCTGTCTCCTAAGATCACTGACAACCCCTTTAAGCTCAGACCAAGAGAGCTTTCTATCATCTTTTTCCCCATCCATTTTCTCTACAACAGGATCTACTGATATCACATCTGTTATTTGGGCTGATTAAGTTTTAAAAATAGAATTGAACATAATATATTTCACATACATGGTGTGATTATTATGGATACATATTTTCATTCGATTCAAGTTTTAAAATTTTATCATCTTTTAGTAAATTTCGTATAATTTAATAGAAAATTTTACTTTTCTGACCCAAATAAAAATCTAACCTCTTTAGTCTTTGTCGTATTGTCATTTACCGTCTGATGTGTCATGTCATTTTCTTTCACTTGTTTAAAAATATATAAAGGGGTAAAGTTTAAATGAATGGAAAAATAATTCATTTAATTTAAATATATATTTAACATTATACACAGAAATCGAAAATCCGTTGGTTCATAATTTTTTACAGTTAAATTGACTTTTTTATATTGTTCTAGTTTTATGCAACTAACAATGCAGAGGGGTGTTCATTGTAGATTAACTGGTTGCATATTCCTTAGATTACACAAAGAACACTTTTTAATATAAAAATATTCTATATAATTTTAAATATATTTATCTCACGTATTATTTTAATTTTAATTTTATGGATCAATTTTTTTCAAATTTAATCAAATTTATGTTATTTTATTCCTACAATTTAACAATCATCATTCATTCTCTTTTCCATTATCAGCTAGAGTTTCTATCTTAGGTCCATCGAGCATTGTCTTTTTGCTCGATGCTTAGGTCACAGAATATGTTATTCAACATATTCCCAGGTTGGAAATTTAAACCGTCGTGTACAACTGATTGACCTATAATGAAAAATAAAACTGTTGATCCCACCCATGAACAAAGTCTTCTTCTTCATCAACAACTTCTCCACAAAAAGATACTTCTTCGCTTCCAAATACTTCAGCGTTACGAATCAGAACATAATGGTGGCATTAAAAGGAATAAAATTCCATCATCACTGGAGGATACTTTTGTAAATCCATATGATATATCTCCACTACATCAGGCACCTCCTCAGGCAAGAAGCTCAAGACCTTCGCAAGGATCAAACCAAATTATATTTTGCTAAGAGCAAAACATAAAACACCCAAGTCAACTTCATAAGCAGTTAGAAAGCGCTGTAACAGAAAGGTGTTTAGAAAAAAACACAAGAAAATATATTTTGCTCGAAATTATTCAGTAAACCGCAGGCAAAGGAGGTTTGGATTAAGTGCAATTTGTGCAATAAATGGTACCATTTACTGAGCAGAAATTGTATATGTGCGATATTTGTAAATAAAAATGTAATAATTACTTTTTGTGTACAAAAGAGCTATAGGGGTCATTTTACCTCATGGACACGATTGTCTTACCGTAATCATGGTGCAAAACTTGATTTAACTGTACACTTCGGTATAATTTTTTCAAAGAAATATGTTGTGCTATATCCCAGTTATTGTCTCATTAAGCTTTACTTCATTATTTCGATTTTTGTTATTTCTAGCTTAAAAAAATTAGAGGGATCAGTTTGTTTTACTCTCCCTAAATATTTACACACTTTAAAATACTTTTGTTTTTCCATTCTTAGATTTATCCTTTTTTTGCCATTCTGCCCATCAATTTACGCTTTCCAATTTCCGCCACATGTACTTATTCTTTGTACTTATTTCTCTTTAATTGTCCAATATTCAGTGTCGTACAACATAGCTGGTCTCATGATAATTTTATAGAATTTACCTAACAGCTGCATTGAAATATTTCTTTCACACAAGATACAACTCTTCTCCTTTCATTTTATCCAACTTACTGCAACCTACATACGTGCTTTTTCATAAATGTATTCATTCTATATTGTCTGTAATGCCGATCCGAAATACTTAAAACTATCAGTTTTTGTGGTCAATTTCGCCATCCAAAGTTATTATATTGCTTTGCTCTAATTTTCTTTTTAGAAGAAGAGGTAAAGCAAGCATTAAGAAAATTAAAAAATAGAACATCACCAGGAAATACAGAATACCGAACGAACTCCTAAAGTACGTCGGCCAGATCTGACCAAACAACTATTAAAACTAATCCAATAAATAGGTAATAGAACAAAAAGAGTTCCTTAAGAATGAAGATCAAGCATCCTAATACCTCTCTTCAAAAAGAAACACAAATCGGACGAGTAAAATTACAGAAGAATTAATTTATTAAACACAACACTAAAATTAACAACCAAAGTGATAAGAAATATACTTAATGAAATTATAACACTAGCAGAAGAACAACTAGGTTTTAGGTCAGGAACCGCCGCTATATTTAAAATGAGGCAAGTGCAAGAGAAATCATTAGAATACAACAAACCGGCATATCTATGTTTCGTGGACCTTACGAAGGCATTTAACCAGGTCAAATTAAAAGACGTTATCCACTTACTGTACGCAAGACAGATACCTCTAGGAATAATTAAAACGATCGAAAATATCTATCAAAACAACAAAATAGAAGTAAAAGTAGAAGAAGAACTAACCGACTAACCATATCCCATTTGAAACCTTTTGAAGCCTTTTGAAGCTGGCAATGGGATATGGAATGGAGATTCCTTGAGTCCTTTATTGGTCAACCTGATTATGGATAAAATAATAAAAAAACTAATAACTAAAAAAGGATACCAAATGGGAGAAAAACAACTCAAAATAAAGACGACGCAATACTACCCTCTCAAAGTGAAGATGATTTACAACATACGCTGCACCAATTTAATATAACCTTAAGAAATTTTAACATGTTAATTTTCTCAAAAATGACAAAACGCCTGGTTACCACAGCAAATTTACTAGTATGTAAATTGGAGCTGGAAGGTCAGATTATAGCATCACATTATCTAATTAAGGAAAGCTCAAAACTGAAGTGGAAGATTAAGTGAATAGAGCAACAGGGCCGCAGGTTGCCTAAATGAAACAATATAGAGAAATAAAAATACCGGGAAAGAAGCGAAAGGCAAAATTTACAAAACAGTCATCAGACCAATAATGACATACGCTGCAGTAACAAGACCTGACACAGAGAGGACAAAAAGGATGTTAGAAACAACAGAGATAAAAACACTTGGAAAAATTAATGGTAAGATACTATCGGATAGAGCTAGAAGTACAGATATACATCGTATATGCAAGGTGGAGAACATCAAGAATGTGTAAGAAATAGAAGAGTAAAATGCAACGATCATATAAGCCGAATGACAACAAATAGAGTAGTAAAGACGGCAAGAGACGGTTCCCCAATAGCACGACGATCAGTAGTAAGACCACGAAGACGATGGAATGACCACTTACTGGAGGCACATTGAAAAACAGACAGAGTCATGTCTATATAAAAAGAAGAAGAAGAAGAAAAAGAAAAATTTTCTTTTTTAATTTCCTGTTAATGGGTACCTAATATATCAGCAGAGGATATTCCGAGTATTCCTAATAAAGTACGTGTCTCCTAGCGGCGGGATACGGGTAACAATATAATGGCTTATAGGGCAGTCCTTAGTGTAAAGATCGTCGCCTATACAAAAAAATGCAAGCGGATGTGGGGTAATACTGCAGTTTGGTTGCATTGGTGGTGTATTGACTAAATCGTGCAGGATATCACGCTGATAGAAAAGGCACTCAGGCATTAAACATCTTCTTCTTTGGGTGACGTCTTCAATGAAGGTTGGTGATAACCTCAGCAAAATCATTTCTGTCCCTGGCTTTTCTTATTAAAGATTGAGAATCCAAACCAGTCCACTCACGAATGTTCTTCAACCAGGACGCCTGCCGTCTACCAGGACCACGTTTTCCTTCTACCTTCCCCTCTATAAGAAGCTGCAGTAGCTGGTATTTCTCATTTCTGTATATGTGTCCCAAATATGAGGTTTTCCGTGTTTTCATTATTTTTAAGAGTTCTCGGTCGGTGCCCATCTTGTGTAGGACCTGCTCGTTGCTCATATGCTCTGTCTAGGGGACTTTCAGCATCCTTCGAAATAACCACATTTCAAAACTTTCCAAATGCCTGAGTGAGTTGATTTTGAAGGTGCAGGCCTCCATTCCATATAGTAAGGTGCTGTAAACGTAACATTTCAGCATTCGGTATCGGATTTTGAGATTGAGTGTTTGGGACGTAAACATTTGTTTCATTTTTAAAAAGACATTTCTTGCTTGTTCAATTCGCGATTTTATTTCTATGTCTGGATCTATATCTTGCGTTATCCAGCACCCTAGATATCGAAATTTCTCGACATTTTCGATAATGTTACCATTCCCGTTTAAAGCCATGGGTGGATGGATGGATGTTTTGGAGACAATCATTGTTTTTGTTTTCTTGACGTTAATGCTGAGGCCGGATTGTTCTCCGATCGATCTGACGCGATCTAAGAGTGTCTGGAGATCCTGTGTGCTCTCTGCAATTAGGACCGTGTCGTCGGCGTATCGTACATTATTTAGAACTCTGACGTTAATTTTAACACCTTCTCTTGATTGCTCTAGTGCTCGTGCAAAGATTTCTTCCGAATATATATTGAAAAGTAGCGGTGACAATACACACCACTGTCGTACACCTCGCTTGATATTGAATATTTCTGTGTCACCGGCTTCTGTTCTAACTGCTGCAGTTTGGTTAAAATACAGCGTTTGGATAATTTTAAAATCGTTCTCGTCTAGTCCCTTTTTGTGAAGGCAATCCATCAGCTTATCATGTTTTACTTTGTCGAAGGCCTTTTGATAGTCAATAAAACATAAAAGGAGGTTCTTTTTTTGGTCTCGACATTTTTGCAGCAGTATAATAAAACTGGTTAATGCTTCCCGTGTCCCAAATCCATTTCGGAAGCCAAATTGTTCATCACTGATATCCTGTTCACATTTCTTATAAATGCGTTGGTGAATAACTTTCAAGAATAACTTTAACATATGCGACATTAAACTAATAAGTCTGAAATCACCACACTTCTTTGCTCCCTTAGTTTTTGGAAGGGGAATAAAGACTGATTTTAACCAGTCTTGTGGAATTTCACCGCTTGTATATATTTGATTAAATAAGTTGACGATTATATTTAAATGTTTCTCTTTCAGTAGCTTTATGACTTCCGTATGTATGTCATCACCATATAAACATCCGAAAACCTTTTCAGACCATAATAATGAAAACACCTCCAATGTAATAAAAATTACACTGAAATGATGGCATCTCCTTCGGTCAAATATTCCGGAAGCAAAATAAGCCTCCGTTCGAATTTCCGGATGAGGACTATTTTAGGGGGAACACCATTACAG